TATCGCGATCGAGCGGGTTTTATTGCGGCGCGAGCTTTAATTTCGCCTCTTTGAAAATTTCCGGACGATAAAGCCCGTCGATACTCGCCCGTCGCTCGGCAGGTTAATTAATTCATTTTGCAACTGACAATACTCGAAAGTCGCGACAAAGCAAGAATATGAATAGTGTAAGTAATCGATAACAATCTGGCGTGCCGCCAGCTGGGGCTTGTTCCCGGCACACAATATCTTGTTTATGTCAAACGTGCGCGCGCGTATGCATGCCTGCATATACGTGAATAAAAGGCTCGCATATAATTCTTTCATTCCGTCTGTTTCTCCGTGAAAATCAAACAGAGAGTTTTACGACGTCGGTGTGCGCGCGCGCATAGATACGTAACGTACACGACTATCCGTGATATTGCTCGCGCGAGCGCTACACGAGACACGTGTGAATTATAGCCCCTGCGCATTTAAATCGACATGGCGAGGGCCGTCGCGGAATGATCTCACGTAAAGCACTTTGTTGAGGCAATTTTTTTACAGTCCTATAAAGCGAGAACTTTAAAGCGCAAGGTCATAGACGGAGATAACCGCGCGCGCGCGCGGTTGAAAAAAAGATTGAAAAAAAGATTCGGCGCTGCGTCAACACACAATTATGCGCGGAAACTGGGTTACGTCACATCCGACGCGGCGTATCGGAAGTTGCGTAATCGCCCGTTCGACCCGTCCGAGAGGGATCTTCGAGCAAAGAGGAGCTAGACGCTCACGCAGTGGCCTTCCTCGTGGCCGCTCAGCCGTCTCCTCGCCCCTTAAACGTTCTCTTATCCGAGAAATCAATCTACTTGCGGATGGGAAATATCGGGAAAAGTGCATTTTAGAACGGCCGTTTTCACACGGATCCTCCCCTCGTCCGCAATCGCCGACGACGTCGAGGAGCCGCCGCGCACTTTTATTATTCAAAGTTGCCCCGCGATGTTAAGCGACATTAATAACGTGACGAGCGATGCAGTTGCGTCTAATCGAATTAGGGGAAATGTACGGTGACACGGATGAAGGAGTGGTAGGGGGGAGGGGGCGGGGGCATAAAAGAAGAGCGAAGGATTTTATAATTGAACATTATCGGCACGTTTAAAAATATCGGCGCTTCTGACATTAGAGCGCGCGGCTCAACGAGTGGACGACGCGATTGATTTATTAAATATAGCTCGCGGATACATTCGGCGCAAAAATTTGGGTCGACCGGTCGATTAACGAGGGATGCTTTTTGGCGGCGAAATCGGATTTCGGAAGCGACGCGCGCGATAAAAGGCGGCCGCGCGCCGCCCGCCCCTCGGGGAGAGATCTCGCGCTTTCCGCAATATAAAACAAAGAAAGGCGCGCGCGCGCACGAGAGAAAGAGAGAGAGAGAGAGAGTGTGTCGCACGATAAATTACATTCCTTAGCATGAAATTGTTCGGTCCCTCGAGGGAAACGCGGCGGATCGGATGAGAGGAACATGTGGGGCGGCGTCCGGCACACTTTTCTCTCTCTCTCTCTCTCTCTCTCTCTCTCTCTCTCTCTCTCTCTCTCTCTCTCTCTCTGTCTTTCTCGCGTGCGCACACACACACACACACACACATCCTCCGTGTCTCCCTCTCCCCTTCTTTCCTTCTTCTTTTTTTTTAAAGCGCCCCAGTTTCCGCGTAATATTTATAGCGATATAAAGCGCGACGTACAAGTTTCGGAGCCAAATCGAGCATAAAGTCGATTCTCGAACTACTTCTTAGCTGTAACTTTTGCCTGCGACCCGACTGCCCTTCTTCCTCCATTGTGCAACTCTCTCTCTCTCTCTCTCTCTGTCGCAATCCTCTCCCTTATTCCCTCACCTTCTTTCCTCTCTTCTTCACCTATGCTGTCTGTGTTCTTCTTTCGCTCCCGCCCAACCGGCGGGTGGGGGGAGAAAGCGCCGAGGTGCTTGAACTTCCACGCCACGTAAGCGATCTGGTATAAAAGTTTATCCGTAAATTCGGACCCTTACCGAAAGCCACCTTTCGGCCTGCTCGACGTAATTTTTATGTGACCGACGCGACGGGGCGGTACGGCTGCCATAATGAACGAGCGGAACGATCGGCGCGCGGAGGGGGGGGGGGGGAGGCGTAATCGGCGCGGTGTGTCGACTTTAGCACGGGCGCGCGATCGCGAGTATTCGTAATTCGAGTCCCGTCCCGATGTAATTCCTGAAACGTTCGGTTTCACGCGACATTTACATTTATATACTGGCTCGGGCGAGTTTGTTTATGGATACTTTCTGCGCGCTAGCGTATGTATTCGCCTAGGTGTGTGTGTGTGTGTGTGTGTGTGTGTGCACGCGCTCGAGGCGCAATCTTCCCATCAGAGATTTGCAATTTTTATGCCCAACCGCATTTAGACTCGATGCAGCTTTAAACGCGAGCGCAGCTAGGCGAGGTACTAGATGAAGCGGATTGTATATCGATTTACGAAGAGGTGGGAAAAAAAGCACTTATAAATATGATAAACTGCGATGTGCAGAGGTGGTGCGCGCGAGGAAAAATCGTTGCCGCAAACAATTCAAATTCATTCCCAGCGAATAAATGAAAAGGACAGATAGAGGACGGATGAGAGAATATATTCTCTCAATTTTTATGACAACGAATCCACAAGGATCTCGATTTCGTACTTCGAATCGTGCCAATTGCCGGGATCCAGTGAATTCTCCCGAATGCTCTGCGACATCGCGCGGCTAGCAAGTCAGCCCGGAGACTCGCAAACGACGGCGTAAAAAAATTGAAAACAACAACTCGGGCAAAAAGTACTCTCGGGCGCGTGTATATTCGCGCGGGTTCTTTTTAATTTAATCCACCTTTCAAGTTTTTTCTTGACTTGGATATTTTTATGAATTTTTTATCTCACCAAGAGAACCTCAGAGACCTCGGCCTTATATGCCGGGGCGACCTTTCCTTCGGCAGCATCCGGTACGCTTTGTAATCTGTGTCTACTCTTGCGTGCGAGAGACACACTCCTGAGACAGAAAGCGGTAAACTTACGGCGAGGGAGGAGAGATGAGAAAATCGCGCTTACCTCAACATAAGCGCCTGATTTACTCGGGCAACGCAGATAAAAAATGTACGTCGCGCGTTACATCCCGCGGGAACAGGTGTCGGGAATAATTTCACCCCTGGCCGACTTTCCCGTCCCGGCGAGCCGTTCTTTTTACTCGCGCCCGCGCGACGAAAATGCAACGACGACGGGCGTGTGTATCCTAAATACACATCGAGCGAGGGAAAACTTGAGCGCGAGCTTAACGTTGCGCCGCGGAAGCTACAACGTGCGTCTCCACCGCGTTGCGAGATATTTATCGAGCACCGGCGCGCGACTACGTGAAACTTCGTCGCGGTAATTAGAAAAATAGTAGAGTACCCGGTTTCCTCGCCGCTTTCCCTCCCTCTTTCGTCCTTCTTCCTCCTCCCGGCATAGCCGCATGCGATAAAGCCCGAACGCGACTAGAAATTTTGATCAGATTCACTTAACATTGATAAGGACCTAACAGGATGAATGAAAGGTAATCCTAAGTAAGTCAGTCCTTATAACGTCCTAACGACAAATGAGTAAGGAAGACCTTTAAAAAGTTATAATGATTGGGTCCACATTAGGACCTTAATGTACCAACTTAGTATATGATATAATATGGTTCAGTTAATCAGGTCCTTGTCGGGATCTTATTCATTGTACCTAATATGATTTGCATCATCAAGTATTCACAAAACAATTTTTGGGTGTCATTTCGAAATATAAAGATGTACATTGCATTGAAAAAACACTTTAGATCACTTGAATATATTTGTAAAATGCTATAGAAATTATCCTTTTTTTTTGACAGTTAGTAAATAGTTGGGAAATTAACGTGACATGCAACTTTTCTCTTTAACACTACTTTATGTCTTGTCGCCTTGTGATACTTTATGTATCTTACGATATTCATTTTATGTTTCTTTTTCGAAACATTTTGCAAGTATGCTCAAGCGATCTAAAATATTATTTCATGCAAATATCTTTTTATTTGGAAATGACATGAAAGAATTTGCAGCGTGTCATTTCTTATTTCTAATGTCGTCATCCAATATAGCCATGGCGAGTAATCATTTGAAAAGCCATAATTTGAAAAAAAAACGTAATAAGGATTCCACAAGATAACTCAATAAGAACCTGACCATGAATCCTTACTAAGGTCCTGATATCCACGCTGCGCTCCATGACTTACTAGGACCCGATAGTATCACCTTATTGGGACCTCATGTCCAAATGAGCTTAATCCGATCAGGACCATGGGATAAATTTCTAGTCGGGATCCTAATCCGCGTGCGTACCTGCGACCGCGAGCTCGATCCGTCGCGCGGCATGAAGACCGCGCGCTCGATCAGTCGACGGCAGAATGAGATCGGCATCGAATTGCCGAATAGCCTGTCGTCATTTTTCACGTCTTACTGGGCGCGACGGGCGCATGAATACAAATCGCTTTCGTCACATTTACCATCCGTATCTCCTGGTGGCCGTGCGCGCTTTCGAGCGCACTCGTGCCGGCGTGTACGCTCGCGACGTGGAAAAAAGAAGCGACAGCGCCCGATAGAAGTGTCAGGCGGCCGTCGATGCTTCTAAATTACGACCGTCGCGATTGAGACCCAGCGAACCCGTCAAGGACCTCTCTCTCTCTCTCTCTCTCTCTCTCTCTCTCTTTTCCTCCGGTCGAAGAGACCCTTACGCGTAACCTTCTTATTTTTCACTTACGCCGCCCCCGTACGCACCGCCGCTTCGGCTTATCCTCCGGCTGGAAGTTTGGGGATTCCACGTCGGCGTGGAAATCTCCCGAATGACGGACGCCCGTCGGGGATGACCGACGGAACTCTCTCACCCTCGGGGAAAATTGATCGTCCGTTTCGTGCGCTCCGCGCTATTAAACGCGAATTAAACCGAGGGCAGCACGATCGCAGGGAGATGAATCGATTTCTCTCTTTTTCTTGCAGCGCGACAGACCGGTCCAGGTAGAGCCTGCGAGTGAGGATTTGACCAGCAGGCGGCCGTCGATGGGCTCGACCGCGGGATTCAGGACGTAAGTAATAACGCACGAATTTTCTACTCTTTTCCCGCCACGTCCCGCTTCTTGTCCTTTTCGTTTCCTACGGAGTCTTCAAGTATCCGAGGCTATGCATAGCAGAGTATAGCGGCGGTCACGTTAATAATCCTCACGGGATGTCGCAAACTGGTCCAGGGAATGGGGGTATTCGGGAAAGGCTTCGAAAAATTAGTAGGTCCAACCAACCGGCACGGCGGAATCTTCAGAGCGAGCGAATGACACGCCGGGGAGTCGTGAATATAAATTGATGGTTTATCTCCGCGAAACGCGCGTTACAAGCGCGAACACAAATTCCCGTCCCGTCGTACTTAAAAAATTACCATAATCTACGGGAGCGTCCCGTGCCGTTTGACTTGTGCAGCGTCATCGCAGCGGTTCTCCGCTCGAGAGCCCGTCGGCGAATTTCCGCGGGTGGAAAATTCGTAAATTGAAATCCGATCGGAAAAGCGCGCGAGCGATCGTCGAAAGTCGACGACAGGCTCTCGGCCCGACAGGCCGGCCGAGTTACCCGGGGCCCGGGGCGCAATTACACGTAATTGCACACGAGGAAAACGTTATTATTCACCGGACTTGAGAGAGACGAGCTATTATCTCGAAGCCTCGGCTCATGATCCAATTACAGAGATCTTTTCTTCGACGTTGAACGTCCAAGTGGCGCAGTCGCGATATGACGACGTCGTCGGAACTTACATTCCCCGTGAAAATCGACTCCGTGGCGGCGGGGCGTGAAAGGATCCGTCCGTTGAAGCCGAACCCGAGAGAGAGAGAGAGAGAGAGAGAGAGAGAGAGAGAAGCGCGCAAGTCGTCGCGCGAGGTCCAAATACAATTAATACGCTTATCCACATCATTTCCGTATCCGCTGCGGTATCGAGCGGCGACGAGTATCTAGAGTGAGACTCTATCTGCTTGCGCCCGTTGTCCCTTCACAATGACACTTGCCAACGGCATGCGCGCTATCAGCTCGCCTGATAAGGCAAACGAAAATGTGATTCCGCTGCTCGAACGTCGACGTCGACGAGGAAGACGAGGACGGACGGTAAATCACGTATCGAGGCTGCGCGCTTCCCCTCTCCCCGGCTAATCTAATCTGCATGTTTGCACGCGATATTCTCACGCGTGCCTGCATTCTCGTCACATTTTCATCGTTATTTCGCCATGTGCTCTCCTCGCGCCTCGAGAGAGCGCGAGCGCACCGATCTCTCCCGGGGTGGCGAGATGGATTCGCTCGCGTCTCTTGTTCGTCCGTCCGTATTCCTTGTGTGTGCCGTCGGATTTTCCGTCGAGATTCCGTCGCAAAAGGAGGGGAGGGGGGAATCTTTGCAGCCGCAGCCGTGCTGCTTTCGGAAATAGGAATAGCGAAACGTTATTATTCGCCGTTGGCGGGGCTTTTTCACCTCTCGCTGACATTTCTCCGGCGAGCGCGGTCGCGCTGCGTAATAGCCTCTAAAAACCGGGCAAACTTTTAAGCGATACTTTCACCGGCCTCTCCCTCCCCCCTTCATCCCACCTCTCGACACGCCGCTCGCTAATTTTTACAAATCCCTCCCGCGAAGAAGCGAAGTTTAACGACTTTAATTAGCCGTTTGTATAGCGGCCCGGCGCGCGCGGGCCGACGAGACGGGACGGGACGAGGCGGGGCGGAGCGGGGCGGGGCGGGGCGGGGCGAGGCGAGGGGACGCGACGCGACGAGTCGACGGAGCTACAATAGATCTTTTCAGAGGTAAACGCGAGGGTGGACTAATGCCTCGCAACGGGCTAAATTCGATTACTCCTTATCTCGCCCTCTCCGCCGCTGCTTTTTGCTCCTGTGCAAATGTTTCACAGCGACGGCAGCGCCGGCGCGGCGGAGGAACGCAAGACGACGATAAAATTTATACCGCGCGACACGACGCGGGATGTGAACTAGAAGTTTATGCGCCGGACTCGCGTCAGCGCCGCTGACTTTTTCCGACCGAGATGTCTCTCGGCGGCTGGGCAGGGCAAAAAAATCAGAATACCCGGAATAAATATCGCCGGCTGAGCATTCGGCGGAGAGTCGCCGTTGTGCATTCGGGAGCGCGCGAATTCGGATGATAAACGAGCGGACGAGAAACGGCATAATTTCCAGCCGACGGAGAGCATCGAATAATCGCGGGGAGAGATTGAGTACAAGATATAAATACAAATTTCCATTAAGAAAGGGAGAGGGGGAGGGGGGAGGGGCGGCCGCGTCGCTCGCTCGAGAAAGGAGGTGCGGAGGCGAAACTTCACCCCGAGTTGTAATATAATTCATTAAAATAATTCAAGTGCCTCGGCGCGATCCGGCTGAACAGTGCAGCGCGTTCGCGTCGCGATTCATGCGGCGAGACGCGTCTAAGATCCATTATTTATCGTCGTTTTGTCGCTGCTTATTATTAATTCGCGCGAGCGAGATCGGGCAGGTGAGGATGACTGGGAATTATTCAACGCGCGAAAACAGTCTCGCGCACTTTTCACTCGGCGAGCGCGAGCTCCGGCAAGAATACCGGTTGGAATACGCGTAAGAACGCGCGCTTCTCCGCCGTCGGTCGTCCCGATAATGATTGCACAAACTTAGCAAAAAGTTTGGCTGTAACTGCTGCTCGCCACGTCTTTCCGCGCGTCTGACTGCTCTCCTAATTATCGCGCGGCGCGAATAAATTCGAGACGCCCTAAACAACTTGGAATACTCTAATTCAAACTTGGAGAGCGCGCGCGCGCGTGTTAAGACGCCTGAAAAGTTGAATTGCGTTTGTCAGCGGAAGACAGCGGCACGCTTCCGCGGGACGAACAAAGGAGCCTTCGATCGCTCGACGTTCGCTCATGATTATCCGGCGCATTGCGCTTACTTACGCTCGGTCTCGTCTGCTAAACGCACGCTGGCTCCGGCTGTCTCCGGCAAGCGAGCCGCAACAGAGAGAGAGAGAGAGAGAGAGAGAGAGAGAGAAACGGGGTTTTGTTTAATAAATAACCGGGATCCCGATGCGCTCGCGAATCTCGCGCGAGCGCTGCTTCTACTTGTTCGCCGATCACGTCGCTTCGTATTACGAAGCTGTTCGACGTCGGACGCCGAGGAGGAGACGATCCCGACGCGCGACTAATGCCCGGCATTTCTCACTCGGGAACGAAACTGTAACGCGCACGAAATCATTCAGTCGCCGCGGGAGGAAAGCGAACGACGCTGAACGTATTGAAGCGGCGGCCACGTGACACGCTCGCCATAAATTCGGATTATTTCTCCGACAGCTCGACGGAGGGAGGAGTCGTCCGAGACAAATCGTCCGGCGCGCGGCGATCTCTCGTCATCGGCGAGGCGCTGACGGCCGGTTTGATCGCGAAATGGACTCCTAGGCGAGGGATCAAGCGGTCCGGCCGAAGTGCAAAGAGACATAATGTAATTCGCGTATTTAATTCGGAATCAACCACGCGCGCGCGCGTATTCGATTTCGGGCTCGGCGGTGAAGAATATGCAAATCGCGCGAGCGGCCATTAAACCCGCGCCGAGCTGGTTCGATCCGAAATTCATCAAAAAATTTACAATTGAAGGAGCACGCGATAAATCTGGGTCATTCCGCGCGTGAATATGCATATGCGCGCGCGTGGGAGAGAGAGGCAGAAACGCGCCGGCGGCTTCCAATTACCGCTCTTTAAATCTCATTAAGTCCGGCAAAGACAATCTTAATTGCAGCAACATTAAATTGTCCCGCGCGCACGCGCGCGCGCACGAGCTCGATGACGCGGATGTTTACTGACGCGGTCTCATTTATGTGTTAGCTTAACACGCAGCAAATATGTTAAAAAGTAACACGCATAAAATAACGCAAAAGATTAACACAAAAATTTAACATTCGAATGAAGAAGTCAAGAAGATGACAGTTTGTGTTAAATTGACATACGGCGAATGTCACCTCAACATTTGGGAAAAGTAATGATCTGTGATTTGATGAAATGAAAATGTTAAATTGACATGTGTGTCCGTGTGTTAAAAATCCAATCTTTATATAATGTAACACATGATAACTGTCATGTAATGAGGAAATTGACACATTTTAGGTTTAGGTCGACTTTAACATATAAAATATGTCAGAGCAAGAATTCATGCATTTACATATAAATTGTGTTATTTTAACATTTGGAAATGTTACTTTAACGCTTGAGAATAGTTCATCTTAATTTAACACAAGAAAGTCCACAGCAACGATATATGTTGAATTAACACACACCACTGTGCGTAACAAAATTTAACACAAAACTTTCTACACACACAAGAACTGCTAACAAAAGTACGAAATGTTTCTAACTGTGCGAGTCTCCACGCGATCCTGCGTCCCGCCGGCGCGCGGTGTGTATGTACTCGCCAGAGTGAAAACTCTTAAATCGCGATTAGTAGACAAAGACGCCGAAGTTATTTCGTGCTCTTCCTTATTTCGGTCGTCTATGTCCTCGGGCCGTAAGCCCCGAGGATCGGGGAAAAATGGGCGCGCGATAATGAGCAGCGCATAGATCGAGTTTCCCCAAATGTGCGTGCGGCCGCGATGCGGTTCGATTGACACGCACAAAACCCATTTGACAGGAGGGGGCCCGAAACGTCACTACGTCGGGATCGACGGCACATGACGCATCGCGCGCGCGGTCGCCTCCGCCGGGAATTAAATTGTTGACGAACACCTGAGCATTATCCTGATTAGATGGCCGCGCGCGCGAGCGGGCGAATTGCCGCGAGCCTCCGTCAGAAATAATTAAAACACACGCGCAGCTCCCAGCCGCGTCGTTGGCCGCGGCTGAGACCTGAGAATTTAGACGACGACTGGCGAGTAGAAAGGGAGAGAGGGCGCGGCAGGGAGGGAGGGAGGGAGAAAGGAGACGAGAGGGTGCGCTTTTTACGATTGCCGGCGAAGACGTAAAGCTTTACAACGCGCAAAGCTCTACAGGCCGAAAGCACCTCGTTGCGGCCCCGCGCGTTTATTCCAGTTTTGATT